AATGCTTCACTTGACACGCCAAGTTTCCAAGACCTACAGAAGAACTGACTTAACATGGATGTTGAAACTCCACATTTTATTCTTGATCCTGCAGGGTGATAAAGATTTTCTAACTGATTTCAGATGCATGAAGGTTTTTCGTCGCCTTTGGATTACTCCTGTAGCTGAATTGAAGCTGCCTAAATACATATATGTATATATATGTTGCATATCTCATGATGAAAACGAATGCATTACAATTATGCAAGCAGTTACACGCAGTCGTACTGTTTTAACCGATATTTTTGTATTGTTATTATAAGATAATGCAAAGCTGAAACAAAATGTTACTGTTTCCCATTCACCTTAGTTTATCGCAACTGTATCATTTTTTTTTGTTTAAATGAACATGGACGTTTCTACCAGCCACCTACCGATTTACACACATATAGTCTAACGACGACCATACACCAGCAGTGTTACCTAGCCCCTAGTTAGAAAAAAAGGAAGATGCATTGAAAATAGATAGCAGAGAAAGCAGATTGATAGATAATAATAATAATAATAAACTAAAAGACTTTTCTGTCTATCATCTGTAAATGTTTCGCAAGTTCAAACAGTAGAAGAAGAAGATAGAAAAGTTTATTGAGTCACGAAAACTAATAACCACCAAAAAAAACTGAAATCCCCAAAACTAACAGTTTGGCTTAATTCATTTTTGTTTGAATCAATCATTTTGAAAAACGCCACACATTCTTTCTTTCCCCAGTTACAATGAAATAATATATACTTGTATAACTCTCTATAAGGCCAGCGTTAGGTCATCAAAAAACAAAAATTATTCTAGTGTGCAAGTAGATTCGAAGAAGAAGGAAGGTTGAAGATAAACAGGAAACAATATAGATGGAACAGGAGAAATATGCTCTGTTAGACACTGATACTGGAAACATTCACAAGACTGACTACTAGGCAGTGCATACCGCGAAATTGTATTATTTCGATTGGTACACAATTCACTGATTTGATGCATATAAAAAGACTAAAAACACATCACTCCATTATGGATAAGATTCTATTTTGATAAATCACACAGTGTTACACAGTAATATTAACGGATGGCCACTTTTCGAGCACAAACTATTGCCACTCATAATCATATCAAGTTACTCACACAAGCTCTGTGAGCTAAAAGACCCGGTGGACCCAATTAAAGAAAATAATATAATTTACAAAATACCCTGCAATGACTGTCAGTAAGGTCAACTACATAGGTCAAACTAGTAGAACGGGGGTAATCATATTTTTGAAACATAAGAATTTAGATAAGGGAAGAATGGTTGACCCCGAGAAGATAAGTAATTTAGAAATAAGCTCAGCTACTGTACTTCACGCATTAACAAACAATCACACAATAAGTTGGGAAAGGATCAAGATTCTAAGAAGTAATCTGTGTAGGCGGAGAGAGAGAGACTGATTTCTGAATGTAGACAGAATCCTGCCTGGTTCATTGAGTCTACACCCAACACATGCAACAGAAATGACTCAATGCAAACACCAGATATATGGAATATATTAATGCCACCAACCAGTCAAATCAAAGGGGGACAATAAATAATCTCAAAATTCTATTTCAGTTCAAGCACATCAGAACATTCTAACAAGTTACTTATTATGACTACAAAAACACTCGTCTTATTTCCCATCTGATTGTAATTGATCAATAACACTCATATTATTATTATTTCTGAATGAACATTATCCCATATTGATTTTAATTCAAATGTCTAGTCATCAATTCCACTCATGTATATAAAAGAAGGGAAGTGTTGTGTGAGTAACTTGATATGATTATGAGTGGCATTAGTTTGTGCTCGAAACTTGGTAATCAGTTAATATTACTGTGTAACACTGTGTGACTTATCGAAATAAAATCTTATCTATAATGGAGATGTACTCTACCACAGTGGCCAAGTTTTATACTTATATATATATACAAACATATCACTCGGCACCACATTTTGCCATCAAGTTCTCAGGAAGACATATCCTCACATGGAAGTAAAATTCGACAGCCTACTGAGAAACAAACAACAGCCTTAGTCCCTGTTCCTAATGATGAGATCTTTTTTGGTGACTTTGTTGATAGACTAATTATCGTTTGGGCATAGTGGATAAGGGACAAGAGAATAAAGGGTTGAAAATGAGCTTATCATAGAGTAACTCAGAGAGGAAACGAAGGAAGATGAAAAGATTAAACAGTACTAGAGCCATGGTGATAAAAAATGGCTGGATGAAACGTTTCTGAACACAAACCTCAGGATAATGCTTAAGGATTGCTAACTTTTAAGTGTAATGGAGATGAGGCAGGCGAATTCCTTTCAAAATAGTTTGTCTTACCCCATACAGGAATTTGAAAGAAGTCTCTTATGATGATGATGATGACGATGATGATGCGTGACATGATGTAATAATATACTCCAGAATTGAGGTGTTGTCTGTTCATGCATAAACTATGACTTTAGTCCTTCAAAGAAATTTTGTCTGCATCTTTTTCATGCAGTTGAGGACTTGGAAATCTTTCATCGCGCCTATTTTATTACCGTTACCTCTGTACTATTTTCCTTTTTGCTTCCTTCTTTGCCTTCCTGAATAATTAGACGTAAAAGATCCATGTATTCTGTTATTATTTGTCAGAATTTCATCATGGGTTGACATTGGTTAGAGAAACATTGGAAAATCTGAAAGTCTTGGACAGCTCTTTAGTCCGCCTAGTTCGGGACTCTCTATCAGTCCGCACCCATCGTAGGTCAAGCCCAAAACTTCCCGGTTACAAAGTGAGCTCGTGCACTGGCGGCGTACACCTGGTCGGATGTGGGGACGAATACTCGCCCATGACAAGGATTAGTGGTTCCTCTATGCCATAAATTGGTAGAAGTTGAAATTCATGGATTGGCCATTACACAGAGTCCCAGTGGTTTAATAGTAGACGAGCTCACCTTGTAGCCGGAAGGTCCTGGGTTCAAGCCTATGTGTGGTGTGTGCGTACTGATGAGGAGTCCCAAAGTAGGAAGCAGGAAACAGCTTTCCAGTAATCCAGTAATGTCAGCTCTTGAAACTAGTCAAATACTTGCAAACTGACGCTTGAATTATTAGTTGTCAACCCTTTCAGTTGCATAAGACTCATCATAATTGTTATTCATGTTCATTGATTTGCCATGTTACTAAATGGCAATGACCTTTCACCTCTGCTGTTAATCTGCATTGCATTATACAAGTCCTCAAACAGCTGTACAGTTTTTAAATGAAGCTACGAAAAGAAATCGTTTTTTTTCGCCGATTCCTGTGTTCCTAATTACGCTAAATTCGGATTTTTCATATCTTGAAAATGATTCAAATCGACGGTTTGGAATGGTCATAAGTTTTCTTGATAGAATTTTTTGTATTCCTCTACGTTTCCCATGAAACATAAGACGTTGAGCTAGAGGCTTCAGGTTTCTGTAGCACAGGTATTTATTTTGATGGGGTGGAGTTACTAGCCTCATACCTAGTCTTCCCTCGCTACCAGTCTTATAACCGGCTTAGCGAGGTAAGGGTTACGTAAGCTGGGGATCAAACCCGGAACCGTCAGCGTGGTTGGCAAGCATTGTACCGCTGTACCGCCGGCGTACCTGTTTATAGTATATTAAGAAAGAATTACTACTGAATAAATTTCATTTCTTTTATAATCTGTCAATTTTTCGGTTAGCAAGTATTAGCTAATCATAATGCAGGAACTTGACTCACGCCAATCGACCCGTGAGGAACGTTTTTAACTGTCTGCATTATATTTGTCTTTCTCAGTCACCTTAGACACTGGAATACACATAAATCTGCATAAGAGAGTTTGGGGTTCGTCGTACGAAAAAGAGATTTACAGGGAGACGTTTGTACATCTCCCTAGATAAATCTCTACCTACTAGGGTTTAGAAAACAGAAAGGTTGAGCGAAGAAGTATTTACTTTTCAATTAGATCCTCATCTCTGGCTCTACTCTAATATATATTCATAGCATTTTCATTACAATACACAACAGTTTACCAATCAAGTGGCACTGATATGTTTGTTAACAATAATTAGTCAGTGTCAAAATGTCAATGCGGCAGGAGATATAATTAGCGAAGAAAATCAATACACATTTAAAAGTTAGAAATGGTTAGATTAAATTAATTTTACAAGGATAACACGTAATTAAAGATGAAGTGGTTAGAAAAATAATAATAAAATAATTTGGACAATTATAATTTTTATCATTTTCAAAGGTTTACAGTGAGGGCCGAAGTAGTCTGGTTTATACATTCATGTAACGATAGCCAAGGTAAAGAAAGTGGCTGTACAAATTTCTTCTGAACACATAGGTTTGGCTTCTTCAGATGGATTCCTATTGCTTCAGCTGTCTGTAGAAGACGAACTCGTAGAGCAAAATTAAGATTAGTAGGAATGCGATAAATAATTTTAAATGCAGTATTAACGTCACACTTATGCTCACTATGTGTCTACAAGGTGTGCTAAAATAGAGCTGCTACGAATAAATCTTGTTTGTCCCTTGCTTAACCATGCTACAAGATGATGTTTGGAAATACGATAGTGAACCTGCGTAATTGTACGCCCAATGCAGCTGGCTTCATAGCTGCCGTCAAACTGGTAGATACACATAGAAGAGTCAAATTTAGGCAGTTTATCCTTACTTCTCGAACGTAGAATAGGGATGGTTGTGAAGAGACAACGTATGTCTGCTGCATAATAAGCTCTTTTAACTGCATTCTTCAGTCGTTGTGTTATTATTTCGCTGATGTTGTCACCGAGGAACTGCAGTTTTATGAACAGTGGTCTTTTTGGAACTGTTGCCATACTGACTTTCCTAGGTTTCCAAAAAGCCTTTTATAATCCACAAGGTTATCGTTTATCAATTATTAAAGTGATTGGTCATAGTCTTTTAGGACACTTAAAAACGAATCGTTTGGTCTGAATCACTTTGTTTTCCAGCTTTGATTTAAATACACTATTGTACATAGCAGACAGTTTAAATGGAACAAAACATGAACATTTGAAAGCACTATTCGGAGAAGACTATGTATGGATATTTACACCGTCTACCATGAGTTCTCTTAATGTTGCACACAGTCAAGACAAAGAATCAGAGGATAATAATGTCCTAGCAGAATCAACTATGTTTAAAAAAATCCCTGGTATGTTTGGTAAGTTTCGATGGCATGTCCGCGCATTATCACTATTTATGCAAATATATATATATTTATCTTTAAGTTTTAAAAGGTTTATTTGAAAATGATGCATTTTATTTATTTTATTTTATTATAGCTTGATTCCAGCCCATATTTTGGTACGAGTATCGGATTCTTAGCGTGTGATATCGGTAGCTCAAATTTAGCAGGCCGACCAAAGATATCAGATGTGCATCGGCCGGGAATCGAACCCCGGATCATGTGCATGGTCAGCGCGTGTCATAACCACTGTGCCACCGACGCACATAAAGGGAAGACAATGAAGCCTCTCCAGTGACTACACGGCCGAGAGCACTCGATTAGGGTCCGTCAAGAGTTTTAACCCACCGAGTTGCAATGGTGAGCCTCCATCCCAGGTCAGAGCATTCTTGACAAATATTTCATATCATAATGAAAGATTTGCACAATCACAATAACAAAGCTTTATTTCAGACACTTGATGAACAGAGTACAGAAGATTTCGGAGTCGGTGGCGCAGTGGTTAGGACTCGCCGACCATGAACATTATCCAATGTTCGACTCCCTGCCGACGCACACCTGATATCTATGGTCGACCTGCAAAATTTGGACTACCGATATCACATGCTGAAAATTTCATACTTCTACCAAAAAGTACTGTGTGGAATCAAGCTGTAATCAAAAAATAACCCTTCTTCATACAGGATTCACAAGAAATGCAATTTGGAAGCCAGGGAAAACGCTCGCAAGCTCATGTACTGATCATTTGATATAACAACATGATTATAACAATAAGAAATGCAGAAGTGTTTAGGCATTTAAATGGGCGGAAATTATAGTATCCCAGTGATTTAGGCAGACCTCCATAAAACTTAATACAAGAGTATGCGAGCCTGACATATGGCCATAAACACTGAAATGCCTTCATAGTTTAATTTACAGCTGTTTATAATCTATTATTACCGTCAAGTTACATTTGTTGGATTTAGCATTCTTTACCCTGGGGATTTCGCGTACTTCTTCAAGGTGTATTTTTCGATATGAGATGAATTGCTTCCTAACTCCACCTTTTGTTACCTTAATGATAACGTGCGGCATTATTGCAAAAGGTTTGAAAGTAGGGAAAGGTGCATACTGACTAGAAAAAAAGATCAGCTTGTCAAACTATTAAAGAACAGTGGCTGACGCCTGTGTATGAACTAACACAATATCATACTCTTGTTCACGCCAAGGAAAAAAATACATCACGTGATCCTGGAGAGAATAAAGGATGCACTGGATGCAGAAATCAACCAGCCGGAACAAGCTGGCTGGATTCAGGAAAGACAAATCATGTGCTGATAAAATCGCTAATTTATGCTCTATTACCATCATCGAACGGAGCATAGACTGACAGCCAAATATCAACCTCAGCTTCACCGACCTTGAAGAGGCCTTCGACAGACAGCGTTGACTGAGAAGTCATTCGGGAACTACTTCAACACTACCGAGTGCGGAGCCGAAAAATCCTTATCAAACTCATTCAACCACACTTGTATGACAATGACATGCGTCAGATGACCAACAACGGAAAACTCAGTGAAGCCTCTGAAGTGAAGACGAGAGTGAGGCAAGACTGCCTGCCTATTATCAACAACGATGATATTCTTAATGGTGGTGGACTGGATTACGCGTCAGAGAGTGAGTGAGTGAGTGGGGAGTGAGAATTCAAGAATAACCTGGATCGATAAGAAAACTGCAGAAGACCTGGATTTCGCGCGTGGTAAATTTGTGTTTAATGTCACACAAACTCGAAGACTTGCAGGTAGAAAACAAAAACCTGACTGAAGAAGCAGGCAGTGAAGACAGGACTTCAAGTAAACCCATAGAAGTTGGAAGTGATGAAGATACCCAGATATGGACAAAAACCAGCACCGATCACCATCAACCAAAGGAAGAGATTTCACAGAGGCTTCTACCCGGACTCACCTATCCGACCGAAAAGCACCGTTACAACCAAAGCCAACAGAACGGATAAAGATGTCAAAGCCAGCCACCCAGTCAGTCAGAATTGGAGAGACAAGATACTCACATCTTCATCAACCAGAGAGCAAGTTGGAAATCTTCTCCACTAACTCATCTGGCATTAAAAGAAGGAGATCCGCATTATGTTCAACACAAATGCGACGTAAGTCAGTCGGTTCTTCTATATGAATCAGAAAATCACAATGCCCGTATTTCATGGGAAGTACTCTCAACAGGCTTTTAGCTCAATACTCAAGATCAGATGGCCAGAAAAGATCACCAGCAGGAACCGATTGTGCAACAAATATGCAGGAAGAAATCGAGATGGATTGAATTGGACATACTCTGAGAAAAAAACCATCAAATGATATCACTAGACAAGCCATCGAGTGGGACGCGAAAGGGAAGCGGCGAGTTGGTCGTCAATCCAAGGGTAACTTGGAGGAGGAGATGAAAGCATGTGGGCAGACTTGGAGCGGTGTGAAAAAGTTGGCAGAAAACCAAAAGCACTGGAGATGCACAGCTGAAGCCCTATTTTCCTCTTGGAATTAAAGAATATGATAATAATAATTCCTCACAGGCTAGTTCAGACTTTTATCAACAGCTGACACCGTTCGCAGGCTCTATACTGAAGGTCGAATGGCCAGAAAGAATTAGTAACAAGAAAATCCGGTTGGCTGATTGGCAACATATCAATAGGCAAGAGCTGATTGCTCAACAACTATATTTGGAGAAAATGGAGATGGATTGGGTATAAGTTGAGAAGGCCGTGGAATGACAACGAGTGCAGCGCAGACTTTCATCGCTCGAGTGGAATCCCAATGAAAGTGACAAGTGGATCGTCGGTGCAAGGGTATTATGGAGGAGATTGTGTGGCGAGCAGTCGGCGATTAGGGATGAGATTATGATGAATCGTGGGGGCAGGAGGAGCTAGCTGAAGAGGACAGCAGAGAAATGTGTTACTGAAGCTCTATAGTCCACTCGGAATTCAAGGGAGTAATAATAATAATAATAATTCTGCGACCACCATATATATAGCGCATTGCAATAGTAAGAAATTCTACGTTTCCTTTCACATGAGATTTATCACTAGGAAATTAGTTCAAAACTGATGATTGACTCATTTTCCTATTGATACATGACTGTATTCCATGTCGTATACATTTCACCCAAGAGGCATTTTATTGGCAAAAATTCGAATGATCGCAGTAATTATTTTCGCTTAGGGGGTCATATGTAAATAATCATTGTTACAGACTGCGTTAAGCAATACGAAATTGATATGTATCCACATATATATATTTATGTGTGTGTGTATGTTGGTCTCTCTTTCTGTTTGCTCGCTTAGTCTGTGACCATTTCACTTGTATGAACCTGTCTCCTTTAACAATGTATATTCCCCTTATATTATATATAATATGTGTGTTTGTTGACAGTCCGTTGCTTGGTGACATATATCCATATATGTTGGTTGTTGACATGTCTGCTATATTTAGTGTATATATGGATCGATACTTCATTATAATTAGCCATTCATGTTAAGACTGTCTAGTGATTTGTTCACACCCTTTGTCTGGACATTCATATATATTTCGCATCCACAATTTGTGTGACTTACACTTACTTACACTTTGGTGTGATACCACTTATTGCTTCTCCTTGTGTTTGGAAAATAGAAGTATCATCGCAAACCTAGTGGTCTTCTGATTTCCGCCTTCTTGCGTCAGGACTATTAGTTTCTCGACCAGTACATAGGAATAATTTGTCGACGAGTACATAACAGAAATAAGGGCTCAAACTTAGATATGATGGCAAAGATTTGTAGTTCAGGTGGATGATTTTGATGTGGTTGGTTGTGTTCTCTGAGCTGCCTGATTATTTTGCGAAGCTTTCATCGCCCTACTAGGCGACATCTTCAGCGCATACTTCAATTTAAAGTGAGCTTTTAGATTTCTCTACGAGTTTATTAATCATCTCCCCTGGTGACCCTGGACGTGAATGGTTGCTTTTGTGTGTTTTCACATCCTCTAAGTTACTTGTATTGGAACTGATTGTTACTCTGAGTCAAACTTATCAGTGAACACAAGAAGAGGGCCTATAACAACTGACTTATCGGCTTCTGTCACTGCATCGCTAAGTTCGAGTCTCTGTGGGCATATGAGTTCGCTAAAGGGTGAAACACATCAGGTTGACGAGTACGAACAAGCAGGAAACCCAAACAGCTTTGGCGTTTGTGCTACACTGAACAAATAGTATTATTTATATTTATTTAATTCCTTTCATTTTGAGAAACCTGAAAGAAACAACCTCCTTTACCTACCTGGGGGCATCGTTACAACTACAGGCGGAACTAAAAAGCAAAATTCAGGAAAGCAATACAAGCCTTCATTTCTCTCTAATCTGTGTGGGGCAGATCAACAGCACAACTTAGACTGAAAATGAAAATAAGATCCGGATTATCAACTGCAATGTGAATTCAGTGCTAGTCGCCATACGGCTCAGAGACTTGGCCAGGGCATCACGAGAGCAACTTCTAACAAACTAAAGATATTCATCAACAGCCAGCTGTCTTCGCTCAATACTCAAGGTCAGATGGCCGGAAAAGATCACCAGCAGGAATCTCTGGTAATGAGCGAACCAACCCGGCAGGAACCGATTGTGCAACAAATACGCAGGAAGAAATGGAGATGGATTGGCCTTACACTGAGTAAACAAGCCATCAAGTGATATCACACGCTAATCTCTTTCTCGACTGGAGCGTGAATGAGAAGCGGCGAGTTAGTTGTTCGTTGGTTCGGGGATGACATAGAGTAGGAGATGATGCTAATAGGAGATGAAAGCATGCGAGCAGACGTGGAGTCAGGTGAAAACGTTGGCAGAGAACCGAACGCAATGGAGACTTGTGACTGAAGTCCTATATTCCTCTATGAACTAAAGGAAACTATATATATATATAAGCGAAAATTTTCCCCTAAATCCGTGTCTTCTTGTCAGTCCAACGTTATTCCTGAGAACATTTAGGAATGTAAAATAATGTTTTCCTGTTCCCTAAAAATAAGAAACCTTCCAACTTTGCTGGAAGGCAGAAAAGAAACAAAACTGCAATTTCACTATGAAAAGATTGTAAGTCCGAGTTTGTCACTTCATCAAACTTTGATTTATTCTAAAAAATTGCCCAAATTCTAAATTATTACATAGATTAAAATATGTCAAAAAGTGTGTCATTTGGGTTTATAACTTCCCAACAATATTCCCATTTGACAAATAAGTGAGTGAGTATGTGTGATTTGAAACCCAACAAGAAGGAAACTGTGTCAACTGTATAAACACATTGTGTGTGTGTGTTTTGAGCTTACTGCTCACAGGCAATTGTGAATGTAAGTATTTGTGACAACTGTATGTGTCAGCTCACAATAATTTTGCTATCTATAACTTCTAACACGTTTTGAAAATATCAATATTCAAATATTTGCTTATTTCTGTCATCACAGAATCATTAGCAACTCCATACCAGCCATGTCAATATATGTATATGTATACAACATGTAGTGGTCTATTATTGAGTAATGGGTGGTGACAAAATTGATATAAATGATATAAAAGTTGTAAATCATGTGGTACTCAGCGGCACAAAGATAGAAATTTGATAAAGTTGAAATTGCCATCATGCCATCCAGTTCAGAGACTGACTCGGAATTCCATTTGTTGGTTGTTTTTTTTTCTAAAAAGGAGATCTGATGATTCTCCTCAAACATACGTCCACAGGAAATCAACATGGAATGGTCAGTATACAAATTTCCATAGTTGGTTCCCCTTAAAAAGTAAGAGAAATCTGATCCACTCCTTATCCTCAAGAATAAGGAGGATATGTTCAAGTGATACAATCGATGGGGAACTAGGGCGACTCAGACAAGTTCTCACAGAGAATGGATATCCTCCAAGATTTATCGAGAAAAACATGAAGTTTAGGGAGAAGCCTGAAAGAATCCAGACGGTGCTGAAGAAACTGCTAATTATGAGTGTTGAATTTAAAGGTGATACCGCAGCTGAGATCCTGAAGAATCACTTATGCAGATCACTGAGGAAAGCCTTCTTTATGGCTGAGCTACGTATGGATTTCTACAGCCGACAAATGATCAACGGATGTGTGGAGGAAAAACTGCCGCTTCGGGCCACTTCAATGTGTGTTTATAAATTCACATAGTCGTGTGGAACTAGCTATATTGGCCCTACAAAGCGCACACTTTCCAAACCCATCTCTAAGCATTTGCTGTCATGGTTAACAAAAGAACAATGCAAGTCAGTTACCAGTTTAATTCTCGAGCACCTGGTGAACACATACCAACCACCTCCACCAGAGTCGTCTTTCGATATCCTCCACAAAGTGAAGCCAAGTGGTACAATGAGCGTCAGGTTTCGGCATTTGGGTATAGCGAAGGCTCTGGCGATTTGTCAATACAACCCTGAACTCTGTATACAGAAAACGTTTGTCCAGTCTCTTATTCTGCCTTCGTCTTTATCTCTTCACTAATCGTTCCCTGTAAAAAATTTTGATTTTTTTAAAAATTTAACGTTTAGTTTGCTTTTGCTTTAATATTTAATTCACTATTATCCCTCTCATATGCTCCCTCTGTACATTTCACACCTTCTTCACACTTATTAAATGAACATTCAAGTACATTTATCTTCAAGTATAAATACGACTGTACAGCTAGCCTCTGAAGATGATTTCGTCGATAAAGAAAAGAGAATTTTCTTCGCTGAATTTTATTTTCTCAATGACTGAATAGGTATTTTTGGTGATATGCAACATACTTTGAGAAATCTCTGTAGCATTTTACTAAAACTACTGACTCCTATATGTTCAATATTTACTAAAATTGAAGAATTCACGATTATTCTCAATGCAGAAGTCCATATAAATTTAGCACAACATCACTTCTGTAGTCGAATTCACTAAATTTTACATTGTCGATATTGAAAAAGTCATTAGATTAGTAATTTTGAGGTTAACAATAGTAATAATAATAACGTTGGAATAAGACATTTAGATGACAAATTTCGCGACGTTATATCATTTCGTAGTTTTTTCACAACCCCTTTACAGCTAACACGGTTAACAGTAATAATAAAATAAAATGCATGATAATTACTCACTTATATCAAAAACAAAAGTACATACTAATTAATGACCAATCATACATAAATAGCTCAAGTAGTCAATGGTAGACGAAGGTTGAAGTTTATTGTGTGTTTTTTTACACATAGTTTAGGATGTATGTGAATAATCCAAAGTGCTTCCATCACCTTCAATATCCAACCTTGAATTAGAGTTATGTGATGAAATAATTGTGAAGCAGTCATTATTATTGATTTTGTGACCTGATATTATTAAGTGTTTTGCAATGGATGAGACTGATTTATATTCGGATTAATCGCATTGGGATTTTCTGTATGATTTAGTAGCTATTTTGGAACATGTCCTTTTTGGCGGCATTGGAACATTCTGTTGGTTCTACCTATAGAGATGCGGCGGTGGCATAGCGGTTAGGACGCTCACCGATCATGCGCAGGTTACGGCGTTCGATCCTCGGCCACCGACGCACTCCTTAACCTCGCTAAGACAAAAATAATGCTGGTAAAGAGGAAAGGCTAGGAATGAGGCTAGCAACCCCATCCTGTAAAAATAATAAACACTGCTACAGAATCTTCAAGCCACTAGCTTGAAGCCCTATGTTCCACTGGGGAACGTGAAGGAAAACAATATAGTTGTCACTGCACCTGCAGGTGAACTTGTAGATACAGTTTGAAGTAGAGTCCGCAGAATTTCGTTCTTTAATCGTAGGTACAGGGATCGAAAATGTTCAGCAGGTGAAAAAAAGAGATGGGACGTAAAGTGTGTACGTTTGATGGCTTACCGATGTCTTTTTGCTGTCAACTGAATAATCTGGTCCTCATTGAACGGTAGGTTTATGAAGATAGCTTTCTTTGGTACAGAAGCTGTCTTTTCGAGATGTGGTCTATCTTCACTATGACTATTAATAAACTTTTTCGGATAACCATTACCTAATAAGTAATATCATCTCACGAAATTTTTCTTCTAAATGCCTTATTCAAATTTATCAAAGAAGGACTAATTGTTTTTGATAATGAAGTTGTCTAATTTGATCTCTCTGATGACTGTGTGTGTGTCTGTATGCGTATTCTGTTCTTCCATTTTCAGCTTTAATATGTTTAAATGATTACAGTAGCCGTAAACGTAGTGCTGAAATCGCTCGTGAAGTCTGGCAAAAATCAATGATTGAATTGATTTATCAACTGACGCAAATCTATCCACCAGACAGATCGATACAGATTGACACGCTGAACAAAGATACATTGGTTTACTTCAAACAAATCTTGGAAAAGCTTAGACCTGTAAAATTATGCCAGTATTCTGACCATTTAAGTTGGCAATGGGGACGAAGAATGTACGAGTAAGTAAAGTGATGTTGGTAGCATAGGTTTCATTATTATTATTATTATTTTAAATTTGTTTGTGAATCTCCCCAGTTTCTTGTTTCTCTGTGTAAAAGGGGTTTCAGTTGCTCATGACACAAGAGTAAGACACTACTTGGTCCTAAATCAAGTATTGTGCTTCAGTCTGTTTTGTCTTTTGTGGTTTGTTTTCAACTCGTACATGAAAAAAGTATTCCTTAAAACTGACTTTACTAATTGCCGAAAGGAAGCTAAAACAACCGTTTGTACAGAATGAGATTCTCATTAGCAGGTGCGTACAACTTAGAAAATTAATTAAATTTAAACTACGGTGAAATGTTTTAACAGACATGCACAAGCGACATGATTTCATTCCGCTGTGAGTAAAATTTATTTTGATAAAGTCTCACAGAGATGTTATAAAGTGGTGTGTTTACTGATGACCATGTTTCGAGCACAATTTATTACTGCTCATAATCATCTCACATCAAGGCACTACTCGCACAACTTTATAACCTCCTTTATATAATACCGTTATTTTCAATAACTTGATCTGATTGTTTGTAGCACTTTCCATATTTCTGGTATCAATGATGAGTCATTCTTATTGCACGTGCTGGGTGTAGACTCGATGAACCAGGATATAGTAGGCAATCGGTGGCACAGTGGTTAGGGCTCTTGCCGACCATGTACATGGTCCGAGGTTCGATCCCTTGCCGACGTACACTTGATATCTATGGTCGGCTTGCGAAATTTGGACTACCGATATCCATGCTGCAGATTCCATAATTGTACCAAAAATACAGTGCGGAACTAAGGTGTAATCAAAAATAAAAATAAATCAACCTCTCTCTTTCTCCACATACCTGTATTACTCTTTGGAATTTTTACACTGTGCCACCCACCCCATTGTTTGGTTGTGTGTTAAAGCATGCGGTGCAATCGCTGAGTGCGTTTTTCTCATTTACTTATCTTCTTGAGGTCAACCATTCTAACCTTAGCTGAATTCGTATGTTTCGACAATTTGAATACCCCCGACCTACTAGTTTGACTGACCGATGTAGTTGACCTCACAGCCATTGCAGGGTATTTTGTAAATTATATTATTTATAGACAAGCATATTAGGCCTAAGACTTACAAAGAACAACCCACTACAGTGCAGAAGAAGATGGTCTACATGAATGTACCCTTCAAAAGTGACCTTCTGGCTGACACCTTGAAAAAGAGGATATCTACTGCTCTAAGAAGGACATTCTTCGCTGCCACACTACGACTGACATTTTCCTCCCGGCCATTGTTCTTTAACTACTCTAAAGACAAACTATCGCATTTGACCACTTCCATGTGTATCTACCAATTCACCTGCTCTTGCGGAGCGAGGTATATAGGTCGTTCGATGAGAGTTTTATCTAAAAGAGTTCAAGAACACTATCCCGCCTGGCTACGGAAAGGTAACAATGGAGCAATAAGGAGCGCCATTATTGAGCATATACTTAACACTGGTCATTCAATTTGCAAGGAGAAGTCATTCAAAGTCATCTATAAAGTCAAAAGAAGCCTTCCAAAATCGACAAGCTTCCATATACTTTCTATTGCCGAAGCCTTAGCGATTTGGATAGAAAAGCCTGAATTATGCACACAGAAGAAACTTCTCCACCCCCTCCTACTACCGTGGGTTTAATTTCAAGTTCATCTGTCATCAGCATTTTGTTATCAAAATTCTTTTTGCAATATTCGTATAATAATTTTTAGTAACTAACCCATTCAATCTTTTCACCTATTATCTAGTTTATTTTCATAATTGTCTCCATACTCCTTCACGAACATCTAATCTTTCTAAACATGTCTATATTACGTAACCCTACTCACATCTTACCAATTTTCAACCCACTTAGTTACAACTTTGATTATTAATCACACATTTTAATTTCTATATTATTTTGATGACGTAACCCTACTCACATCTTACCAATCCCCACCCCACTTAGTTACAACTTTGATTACTATTCACACAATTTAATTTCTTTATTATTTTGATGATGTAATCAACAACCCACACTAACTGTTATTTTGATTTTGATTTTGACAAACCTTATGTACACACAAAATTAATTGTATATTTTTGTGACTGTACAGCTAAGAGAATGAATTCGCCGAAAAGAGACTCTTCGCTGAACTAATTTGTTCTTATTTCAATGTCTTAATGGGTATTTTTCGCGGATTATATTATTTTGTTTAATTAGGTCAACCAACAGGGTCCTTTAACCTACACGGCTTGTCTCTGAGTGAGTTTGTAGGTATGAATGCCACCTTAATTCCTGCTTTATTAAGAATCCTTCGTAGGGTCTTAGATGTCCCCTTCATCCTTATATTGGTAAGACTACTGTAGATGCCGTTCTCCTTCTCTGATTGTTCGTAGAAGAATTCATCGTGAACATTCGCAATTCTAGCTGTAGGTATTTGTCACCGTTTTCAAATATTGACTGTGTTTTAACAAAGAACTTTGCAAAGAGGTTCACCACTTCAGTTTGCCATAATCTACATACCACACAAACGCAGACAGAAAAAAGAAATTCATAAGTACTATTATGAGTACAAATGTGCAGGAGAAAGAACAGTAACTTGGAAAGAACATAGGGTCTAATGGATCTAGGGGAGATTAAATGCATTCGTACCATTTAGAACAAATTTAGGTTATATCAACAACATTCTTCAACTATTGATTCTTAGAATCAGAACGATATCAACCAGGCAGCCTGTGCCTCCTCGCGTGGCTCAAACTAATTGCAAAGGACTTCGTCCATTGTTGACAGGTTTTAGTTTGGTCACCTCTCACTCTTTCCTGTCGTAATTCTATGTCAGCAAACATTGCTCGACGAAGAAAGCGACTTCTCAGTGACCGGAACACGTCTCCTAGCAACTTTTTCGATCGACTTATCCTCCTTATCTAGTGCTCTACGCCTAGCCTCAGTATTAATTATCATGGTAACGCAGGAGTCAAATCACAAACATCTGCGTTCAGAGACATTTAGTTTTTTTCATTTGCGAAGCCCACACGTCACATACATAAAGAAGAAGAGAACAAATTACTGTGCGGCATACGCATCTTTTGTTTGATAGTTGGATATCATATCTACTCCAGAGAGGATGTTAGTTAGCAGATCCCGTACGAACGTCTTATATCTGTCAGGAGATTTTGTTCTCTTTGCATGCACATCTTTCGACTTCTCTTTCCTCTACCTCAATATTTTGCGTATACTTTAATTTTTGCTTACGATAAGATTACAAGTTTTTCGAAAATATTTCAAGAACATTAAAGATAAAGATGGAAGCATTGATGATGCCCGTCCAAAATGAATTAACCACTTAGAAATCTGTGGACTACTCCTACTGCCACAACTAGTCTACAGGTATTCATTTACTCACCTGAAAGTCTAATTATTGCTTGTTATCCACAATCTACTGTTTCTAGGCTAACAACCTAAAAACGTTAACTATTAGCCTACGTCTGTAAAGTGATGACGTTTTTATTAGCATTTTTGAAGAAACCCTGATATTAGACTAATTCATCTGTGTTTACTTGAAAAATAAGTAACCTGTACATAGACTGGTGTTGAATTAGCGAATTAAAAGTCGACCGAATATCCTATAATATGAAGTAAGAAATGATTTATGTTTATTTATTTAACGCTGACAAGTATAACTAATTCTAATCCTCTTTTTTTCGCTTGCATTTACCGATATAACAGTGATAAGTGAAAGTGATCAGTAGGTGATACTTCTTATTGTAATTTGTTTTTAAGTGTTTTTGGTGGAAGAACTAAATTCGTTAATATTTTGAAGTTATATTTTGATGAATTGGTAAGATGTGTTTAACTTATACGCTGAAATACCGGAAACACCTGGAAATGATGTGTGATTTTATTTATTTATTTATTATTCCGTTGGGTTCCTAGTGGAATATAGGGAGGGGCTTCAGTAACCCATCTCCACTTTATTCTATTTAGTGTTGTCCTCCTCATCTTGCTCACCTCACGAGTTAGCATAATTTCATCTCTAATCTCCGACTGCTCGACACACAATCTTCTCAAAGTCACCCCCGCACCGATGACCCACGCTTCACTTCCATTGGATTCCAATCGAACGATGAAGGCGATGTCATTCATTGGCCTCCTCAGTGTGTGCCCAATCCATCCATCCATCTCCATTTTTTCCCCAAACATATTTGTTGAGCGATTAGCTCTTGCTTCTTGGTTTGTTGCCAATCAGCCATCCATAGTTTCTTGTTTCTGATTCTTTTTGGCCATTTTATCTTCAGTATGGAGCCAGTGGGTGGTGGTGGCGGCCATCGATAAAAGTCTCCACTAGCCTTTTGGGAATGCTTCCTGTGAAATACGGACAGTGTCAACTTCTGACCCATATAGAAGAATCGACTACTGACTGACTAACTACGCATTTGTGTTGAACAGAATCCAGATCTACTTGTTTATGCCAGCTAAGTGAGTGCGGACGATTTCCAACTTGGTTTTTCAGTTTGATGAAGGTGTGAGTATCTTGCCTGCCCAATTCTGGCTGGCTGGCTTTGATATCTTCATTCGTTCTGTTGGCTGTGGTTAAAACCTTGAATCCTAACCGGACAAGTGAATCCAGGAAGTAGCCTCTGTCAAATATCTTTCGATTTGTAACATACTTTTATTTCATTACCTTATTTTCAAGAGCTAATCTGATTTGTTTCAAGTCTGGTCACGGATTAATACCAGTTAAAGAATCAATGGAAAACCAAGAAGTACTAGAAGGCTGTGTTGTCCTAGTTCGGGACTCACCGACAAGACCTTCTGGTTATAATGCAGTCTTGCAAACCACTCAGCCACTGGGCCTAAAAACAAGTCAAATCCCTTCAGAAAACTCTTGAAAATTAATCTGTTGTTCAGGACTCAGTTACCTAAGTTCCAGTGAGAAGTAGTGACTAGTGCAGTGGATCATGTTGAATGTAAGACCAGTACTCTGCGATGACACTAGCTGGTGCTAGTTGCACTGGAATCAATAAAATTGGTATAAGCTGGAGTTGATGGACTGGCCACTGGATCGGTTTCCAGCGGTTGAATTGTCTACAAGCTTCCCTTGAGACTGGAAGGACCTGGTTTCGAGCCTTGGTGGGTGCATGTCACCGAAGAGTCCCAAGGCAGTAGGGAACAGCCATCCAATACTGCCTGATTATTCTATCTCCCACTTAACGTCTTCCTGAATTTTTTTAATATCTACAGCACAGGTGATACTTTCTGCTTAGCTAGAATATTTCGCCTGTATGACATGAAGCTGTGCATATGTGCGCAGTCATAGAATTCATTGGTTTATTATATTTTTGTTATAAATTGACCGACTACTCATATTATACATCTAAATGCATTGTTTCTCACTGTATTTTAGCATTATGCACACAATCGTTGTGAACGTGGATAATGAACCGATCACTTTTCTACCGAATGGTGGATTAAATGTCTCCAGATTATACATTTATAATTCCAGGATTACTGATGGTCAAATGAAATGGTATAGGGTAAATTATTATCATTATTCAGTGTGTATACTGTATAATAGTTGTTCTTATGAAAAACGAGTTTTTCAATATCTTCTTTTGATGAGTTGACGGTTCATCGGTAGAATGTTAACCAGCCACACTACACACATGGCCCAGGGTTTCGACTCCTGGCCAACGCAATCCTAAACCTCTCTAAGATGACAGGAAGATAGGTGAAGAGGGAAGGTCTATTGTGAAGCTAGCAGTTCTACCCCGTCAAAATAAGGCCAGCGCATCCGCAGCATCAAATTTCAGGATTGAAACCTTATTTTCCACCTGGGGAGTTAATTAACAAAATAATAATATTTAATTGAATTCTAGATTTTCCCATCGATTGATTGGACCAAAGTGCTCGGCCTCAGGTTGACATGTCAGCTTCTTGTGCAGATATTCTGACGATGTCTGGGCATTTAGTTAGAATTCAGTTGGTGGATGGTGACTTGCGGTGGAATCCAGGATGCGCACTTCGTCCTATTTGGGATTCCACTGCTAGTCACCATCGACCAACTGAATTCTAATTACATGCCCAGACATAATCAAAGCATCTACACATGAAGCCAACATGTCAACCTGAGACCAAGCACTTTGGTTCAATCAACCGATGGGAAAATGTAAATTTAATCCAATAATTGATATCACCCGTTAAACAAGAGGTGGCTCTCCTGTCGCATAAATGGTCAAGTGGATAACGCTTTGGCGTTTGAAAATATGGGCACTGGTTTTGAGCCTTGGTGCGAACATCATCATTACTCACTGGGGAATGCAGGTACATTAGAATGTCGAGTCCCAAATAGGACGAAATGCACATCCTGAATACCACTGCGGCTTGTCACCATCCACCAGTTAAATAATAATCATGCGTCGGTAGCACAGTGGTTAGGACTCTCGCCGACCATGCACATGGTCCGAGGTTCGAACCCCTTCCGACGCACACCTGATATCAATCGCTGGGCCGCAAAATTTGGACTACCGATATCCATGCTGAAAATTCCATAGTTGTACCAAAAATACAGCGTGGAATTAAATTGTAATGAAAAAAGAAATAATTTCGTATGTTGTTATTAGTCTTGCGACCAATAAAATATGTATAGAATACACAATACTGTCACATCTGCAGATCACGGTGAGCTGCATCATCGGAACATTTGGATATACATAGACTGAGGACGACAGACCCCGCTAGGATAAGTGATTCACAGAATTATCCATTATTGTGTAGGCACATGGCGTCGATGGTATAGCGGTTAGGACGCTCGCCGACCATGCACATGGTCCGGGGTTCGATCCCCGGCCGACGCACTCCTTTACTTCACTAAGCCAGAAATAATCCTGGTGAAGAGGAAAGATTGGGCATGAGGCTAGCAACCCCATCCTGTAAAATAAACATTGCTACAGAAACTTCAAGCCACTAGCTTGAAGCCCTATGTTCCACTGGGAACGTGAAGGAAAAAAAATGTGTAGGCACATGTATACAATCATAAAACAGGGTGAAATTGCCAAGTAATAAATACATAATAAGGTGGAAACAGCCAGAGAGAAAGAAATCATGGAGTCTTTGTTTTATCAAACCAAAAACCCCACTTATGTATGTAACAGCAATCCCTCATACATGGAACTCTCCACAAAAAGTTCCACCTAGAATATTAAAAAGCAAGCATATTTTCACATAAATCTACATACTACTGATTGACAGAGATAAGTAGTTGTATACGACTCATATCAACAATCAGTAGTTGTGTGAATATCTTCATGTGATTGTGAGCAATAAACAATAGTACTTTATCGCCTCATCTCATGTTGCTTAAACTCACACAATATAGAATCAATCATATACTACCCTAGTACCCTAACCTATTCCTGAATTATTTTGTTTTCAGTAAACACATTGACAGGGCAGCGGCGTTTCCACCTTCTTACAATTCAAATTAATTGGTTCCTGTTTTTTTGTTTGAATTAAATCTCGAAAAATACCCATTTATTCATAAGTAAAAACACAGGTTATATATATATATATATATAAGGTATATATACGTACATTGACTGAGCAATTATTTAGTGCCACTTAATAACCTTCTTCTGTAATATAAATACGACTGTACAGCTTGAAAATGAAGTCGTTGAAAAGAAATTTCTTCGCTGAACAAAAACTGTGTTTGAATTAAAGGCAGAATACTGCTTTCCTTCAAAAATATGGATCTAACTGAGAGATTTAATAATAATAATAATCTGCTTTATTCCAAAACAGTACTTGTGATACAGAATGGAATTCTCAGCATTTCACCACAGTATTGCATCCAGTTGGCACATTAACAATAAATAAATAAAATTCTACAAAGATTAAGGGTAATCTCAGTTAATTTTGACAACAACCTATTAGCATGCTGGTAGCAAAGCCAGAAGTGAACAGAGTATTTGAAGGTGTTAGAGAAGTAGATACTATCATATTTACTGGCGTAAGCGGTAACAAAAGGTCGAGATATACAGAGAGTGAGCGAACGAAGTAGAATGTTTGAAGTAGGGTTTGTAAGGAAGAAAGAAACAAAACAGCACATAACAGAAAAAAGGAGGAAAGCAAAAGAAAGAAAGAAAGCGTTGTACCTATAAATGAAATGAATTGGAAAGACGAGATCCAGTTGTTCTACTGACTATTTAATAAGTTGTAGGTATCATGCCTAATGCTTTCTTTATCGCACAGAACACGAGCTGAATAGGGTTTGGTTGAGTTTTTGTACTTTCTAATGCGAGCATATCGTTTTCTATATAGGCTTCTGGTTCAGCATGACGAGATACAAGGAAAGAGTTGTGAATGAAGAGGGTGGTGTGAGTTAGATAGACAGAATGGATTTAGCCCATTTTTGAGTCCAAGCGTCTGTCGAACAGAATATTAACAAGCTGGTTAAGTGGCACTTTGCTTCCTCTGCTGACAACCTTTAACATCCTACGTAGTAAGATACAGTCCTTCTTAAGTAGTCCTGGAATAACTAAGGGGGGACAATAGAGAATAATAGGCAGGATGCAAGAGTTAACGAATCGTAGGAGTAAGGGTTGAGTTGGGTTATTCCAGAATGTCTTAACTTCTTGATGTAGAATGTAGGACGGAAGAACCTCTAAGCATTTACTAAAAATGCTTCGATTTCTATTAATGAGTTTTTATCCATCTAATTATCATTAGATGTATCATATTTTCAAATATTTGTATTTATTTTAACAGTGATGATATTTTTTTGGTGAGTTAAATGTAATTATTCATTCGTGTGTGAAATTTTCCTTCGAAATATCAGAGTCAAATTGATCAAGCATAACATTTGGTTTTTGTAGACAAATTTCTCGACCAATGAACTAACCATACAGCCTTATTTTTAACTGAAAACACCCTTGACAGTTATCAAAGTTCTGACTTTAGTAATACTCTGAGCTGAGTAGATCCTTTAGCTCTCATATTTTGAATAAGAGTGTGGACACTTTCAGTGAATTTGTCTGAGTAATAATCATTTCAGTTAGAAATAACATAATCAAGTTTCAGGCGCTCTTAGAAGTTGTTATTATTATTCAAGTTGAGCTCAGTACATGCATTATATTATCTCTGGTTTTCAGGTGGGAACCTGGTCTATGAGTAGTAAATGGGGAAGGAGTAAATCGAAGCTGAGAATTGATGGCGTTACTTGGCCTGGTGCAGCGAATTCGCCGCCTAAGGGTCGACCAAATAAATTCAAGCTACGGGTGGTTACAATAAAAGAGATACCCTTTGTAATTTATACTAAAGCTCAAGTAAGAAGACATTTTAGTTTTCCAAATAAAATGATGTTTCTTTTTTAATCCTAAATGAATGAAATCGCCAGCTACGAGTAAGTCGACAGGTGGTGATGTTTGCAATAAAGTTGAATTGTGGACAATGAAAGAAAAACTTTAGTTGACTGACCAACTGGTTTCCACATAGAAATACTTTGCACAGATGGGTAGTACTTTTAGTTTGTCACACTCCATGTAGCACAAAAAGCAAGGAAAAAAGTAACGAGAGATTCAAAAGAGAGATAATAAACAGAAATATACGGCAAGGAGAATAATAATATGGAAGAACAACAACGTTTTAGTGGATGTGACAAAGGGTGAATGCATCTCCGCCACTGAGAAGATTTTGAACCATATCACCAATTGTCTCCAGCTCCGACCGGGAAGTCTACACCTTCCTAGGTGGCTAGCTTAAACTAACTGTTGTGGATTTCATTGACTGATGAAGCCATGTTTTGGTTTGACGACCACTAACTCTTTTCCAACTTGATCGTATGTCAGCTAACAGTGCCCTTGGTCGAGGTAGGCGATGGATGGTTAGACGTGAGTAACACATGTCCTGGTCATCTCACCTGATGTAATTTCACAACCTTGTGAACTGATTTCCCCCCATTACCCAAGACTCGACCGAAGCCTAACTTCAATATTTCCCATCTTATTATACCACCGGCACAGAAGATAGAACGCTGACATCTATGATCAAAGACAGCTGGCCAGCCTTTTCGCGGCTTCGATTTTCAATGACCATGTCTCACAGCCAGTCATAAATAGGGACATAGCAGACCTATGAGAAGTACAGATGCCATTTGTCCTATAGCCAGCCGCATGCCACATCTACTTCAGAGATGGAATAAGTTGGCATATGCCAAACAAGCCTTGTGTATCCATACTGAGGTGTCATCAGCGATCAACCGGCTGGCACTGGCTGATACAACTTCCCAAAATAATGAAGTGGTCAACACGCTCAGCCACCACTTCACTTCTGTCTACCTCTAAGCTGGAAGTCAATATAGTCCAGTCCAGTCCAGTTGCACCATCATACACTTGACAGGAGCGAATCGCATGCCAAATATTCAAAGATTGCTGCTCAGGGCGTTTAGAATACTCTACATTTTTCCACAGCCTTCACCTGCATGTTTTAAGTCTACGAGGTTATACCTGGGAAACACGTCAATGCACAAGTCGTTGAAGTTAGTCAGGGGTAATTCCATTAGTAGATCTATGATGAAATTGAATAGAAATGGGGACAGTGGGCATCCATGACGGACACCAGTGGTGACAGATGACAACTCGCCGTAATCTCTTACTTGGCTGGCTGCATGAGTTCGAGTAGAGTGCCTTGATCAGCGCAGTGTATTTTCTTGACACTCGCTTCGCAACCAAACATCGCCATAGTACCTCTCGGTTGACGGAATCGAATGCTGCTCTCAGGTCAAGCAATATGACGATTGTTGGATGCCAGTGAGTGTGCCTATGTTCCGTTTCTGAATCTGTCGAATGGCGAAGATATGATCGATACGCCCTCTTCCTTGTCTAACGCCTGGCTGGTTCTCTCGTGTTTGTTTCCCCCGAGCACCACAATCAAAATAATTTCAAACGCTTCAACATAATGATAAACGTCCTATCATAAAATAATTCTATTTGATAAAACACAGCGACTCCGTATTATTTATAGATAACGTTTCCAGCATAACTTACTGATCATAATCATGTCACAGTGCTCATATAACTTTTAGATTCTGTTTATTTACTTCCATTATCTGTTATCCTTTGATTCTATTGTTGAAAATGTTCCCCTTATCTCTGGTAAATAAACATTTTCAGCATGTTTATCATAAATGCATATCAGTAAGTATGCTCCGTTGATAACGGTTGTATTAAAGGTTTGAGATGAAGATTTTAAACATTTCAACTAAATTAACTATAATTTTGTCAATGACTCGTCGAAAGTCAGTCTGTTTTCCTTTTATTCCTTCACGTTTTCCGTGGAACATAGGGAGGCTTCAAGCTAGAGGCTTGAAATTTCTGTAGCGGTGGTGATTATTTTCCAACCTTTTTACTCTTAACCAGCATTATTTCTGGCTTAGAGAGGTAAAAGAATGCGTTGGTGGCCGGGGATCGAATCCCAGACCATGTGCGTAGTCGGCGAATGTCCCTACCTCTGTGTCACTGACGCACAGAAATCACTCTATAAGTTGATGATATGTCTGCGCATGACTTGGTGCTTAATCCGGCGACATATAAATGCCAAGTGACAGTCGTTTTTGAATGAGAACAATAAACCCTGATCTCAAAATCTCTCTTCATTTGATTTGGACACACGTCATGCAAAGTAGCACAAGCGTCTAGTAGTTAAAGTCAAATGCTGAAAATAGTGTGTCTTCTGGGTTCATACTACATTCAAGTCGAAATCATACCTGCTATCTACGCCAGCGAACCCACTTTACCACTCTGTAAAATTTTAAAGATAACTTCATCAAATCCAGTAGACCACACACACACACACAAAATACCTCAGTCTGAGGTAGACTGAAGTCGGCAGTAATTCATGCTATCACCAGATAACTCCCTTTCCTATTTGATTTAATTAAGACTATCCAATTCCTGTATTTATTATTATTATTGTTCCCTTGGGTTCTGGGTAAACGTTAGGGATTAACCAACACGTTCCCATTTCACCTTTTTCTCTGAAGTACTCTTTGGCTGACTGCACTATTGCCCACAAGTTTGCATATCCTTCTCACACCATCTGTTCCATGTAACCCTTCAACCTACACACACCTCAAAGCATTCCATTCGAGTCCCCTTGGAAAGACGATCTGGTGCTTGATTTCATTTCAGAGTGTGTTCAGTCCATCTCCATTTTCTTCAGAATATTTGGTGAGCAACAGGTTCCTTATCCGTTTGTTCCACTTTATAATTTCTCGTTGATAATCCTTTCTGACCAGACATTGTGGTGAGAGCTGGCTGTTAGTCAAAGTTGGTGGACAGTAATTTACGTCCACGTTTATGTCCCGAATATTGGTCGTGAGAAAAATGAGAACGAAGGCTGTGCGTAGTCGGATACAGTTTGCATATAGATGAACTGACACTCAAGAAGCAGTCACAAAGAGATGCAAGGTTAACTTTCAGTGAGAAACAATCAGTCAGAAGACTGTGTTTTTCTGCTAACAATAATCTATAATAATATACATGAAAATCGCTAAATATGTGTTGATTTCCTTAATAAACGATCTGTTGCCTGGCCATTGTCTTCTGTTGTTACAACATGTGATCATGAGTAAGGGACCAGGGAGGTCAGCTATTGATAAAATTTGCCGAACTGTTGGCAAATGCCTTTCGTGCAGCGAATCACAGGGGAAGCAATGAATGAATTAATATTTGAGTTGACAACCTGAATTTTGTTGTTTATGCTGAGTTTAGCAGATTTCCAAATCTATTTTAGAGTGAACAAGGTCTGTCTTGCTTTTCCACTTCTAGCTTTAACACTGTACCCTGTACTTCTCTTTGTAATTGGAACAATGCCTCTTTCAAATTTCCCGCGTTGATAGCGATCGGAGCTTGTTGTTGGTTAGTTAGTTGTTTGGTTGGTTGGTTGGTTATTTCATCACCTTCGTCCTCTCTGTGTTAAATCAAATTCATGTTTTCATTTCCAGCCTATGCTGCCAACTTATTATTTTTCGCCCGTTAAATAATCGAGTTGATGAAACATTAGACATAAATCGCCCGCGAATTCGAGATCTGGAGTTTTCTTATGAGTTTTGTCTGTCACATAGTCCGGTCCACCGTAAATAGGAATATCATCATAGGTTATAGTATGCAGTCTATTCTAACCGCTGTCTTCATTCGAAAGACTTCATTGGGTGTTTTCTGTTGTGGTGGATCACCTGGTAGGTGGCATTGTCACACACACAACTGTCGAATATGGGTGATAAATGTTTGAGGCACTGTACTCCTCAGTTTTAAAGTGGTTTCCAAATTACCTACAAACCAGCTCTTTCGAAGACGTTTTCGTGTAATAAGTTGTAAATAACACTCTGACTTTTGTTTAGGTCCTCTGCTCAGTTTACTGAAAATACACACTGAAAAAAAACATATCGGTGCGGAAAAGTCTAATAATTAGTTAGTCATCTTGTCACTAGCATATCTTTTATCTGAAGTAGTTTTAAGATACAAATTTATTATGTAGGGGACTTTCTAGCGAGCTCAGAAACACACCATATGAATGTATGTGTAAAACTTGGGCACTGTGGTAGTAAGTAATTCCATATTAGTGACATATATTAAGTGACAGAGCACAGAAACTATGTAGTACCAAGGAAAATCTAAGACAGGAAGTCATATACATCAAAACAAGTCTTGAAATTAATAATCACCCTGGTAAATTAAACAGGAAATATGTAGGGAAATGTAAAAATAAAATAAATAATGATAGTAGTAATATTGATGATAATCATAGTATTAATAATAATAAAGACGACATGCATGCCAAATATGTGCAAGACAACAACAACAATAAGGAATCTAAATCATCAGTAATAATTCCATACAAAGAAAGAACCTCGGAAACCCCTTTTCGTAGAATTCTTAACAATGCTAGCAGGAATAAAAGTGACTGGCATTCAAGCCAACAAAAAACTCAATTAGAAACAAGCTTTGTCGGTTAAAGGATCAACCCTGCGGAGCCTTTAAAACAAAACAATTTAGTCGATCTAATATCCTGCCTCCAGTGATTGTCAGGTCAAATACATAGGTCAAACTAGTGGAACAGGGGCAGTCAGACTAGCCGAACATAAAAACCTAGCGGGAAAATATAGATTGGTCGACCCAAATAAGATAAGAAATCTAGAGAATAGTTCAGCTATACCACTCACTACATGCAGTTATACACAACCGTATAATATACGATGGATGGGATAAGGTGACAGTTTCAAAATCTAACGTCACAGGGTGTAGCGAGGGAGAGATTGATAACAGAAGCTTTGTTTATCGAATCAGCTGAGGGAGAATACTTGCAGTAAGAATGACTCAACACCTGTCCACCCAGATATCTGGAAAATTCTACTACCCAAATGACGACAAATAGGAGAGAACGAAGAAAACTATAAAACTCAAGTTTCGTAGTCGTGTGATAAGTGATATGATTATAAATAATAAATTTTGTTCGAAACTATGTCATCCAGTAAATAATACTGTTCCACTCACTGTGTGATACATCTAATAAACCAGCTAATACACTAACGGATCAAATATTATAATAAAAAATCCAACCTAATGATACTCTAACAGTATATTACAAAAAAATACAGCAATGAGTTATATAAACTAAACTGGTTACTTGGTTATACAGTTAAAGCCCACCACAACCAATTAATTATATATAATCTACATTAGTGTTCACCACTGGAGTCGTATCTTGTTGGTAGAAGCTGTGCAGCGGTTGCACAATAACCTTCGGATGAGGATAAGAGGTTCCTGCAAAAATCCAAAGTATACACAGCACTGCTATTTGTGAAACAAGTACACAGTATAGACTAGTGAGAAGACGAGTGTGCATCGAGCAGCACACTGTATTTTTTAGATAGTATTCCTCAATTATGTTTATTTCGACATAAGTTGTTTTAAACAAAAGTTGTTGTACAATTCTTTTTTAATTTTCGCATCTAACAAAAACAGATATACAGTCATATTGTTACAGAGACCACAGATATGAGTAAATTACTGAAACTTTTACCTATACACTACTTGTATACGTAAGACTAACACATAGATTACAGGATCTCAGTCAGATTTTCCGACAGATGCCTACTGAATCTATGGCTGGTTATCCTATCTACAAATGACTATAAATAGGGACTAAGACTAAACCTCCAACCTACATGTTTCTCACCTTTTACATATTTCCCATCCTAATTACTGCTTCTTATTTTAAAAAAACATTCCATAACAAGGAAGGTGGAACATGTGATGCAAATTCAATTCCTTGCAAACTTCGGCCAGAATCTCTACAAGGTGAAGATATCTCCGGGAAAACTTCAATCATGCATAAAACACTTAGCTCAGTTGGAATAAATTCTATTCATAAAGATTTGCAGAAACAGACTAAACAAGAGATGTTCACATCCAGATGAACAGGTCGTCCGAGTCAAAGGATACAAACAATTCTGTAGTTTATGTCAATGGATGTTGTTCTGGACTGACAATGGATTTACTGATGGAATTAATGAAGGACTTAAACTTCGAAGTTGAAATGTTTGAAGTAATGGATGGTTTCTGGGGAGCTTGGACAGTAAGTCTATAATTGTTATATATATATATATATATATGTAAAGTTTTTACTGAAGTTTCAAGGCCTTTTTGAAAAGTTGAAAAACACTACTAATATTAGACGGTTGGCGAGGATCGGCCACCGGAAGGAAGCCTTGCACCTATAGTTGGTGGCACTCGCTAGTCAGCAAGACATATCTGTAGTCTTGGAGGAACTCATATTCGCTGTGAGATTCGAACTCGCATCAGACAATACACCCTGATGGTGAGCCACCCTAGGATGACGGTTATATTGTAACTTGACTGACAGAAGTCAGTCTGCAATGAAATGAAAGACTAGAAACACTACACATAGTTACTAACTAGTCTCCAGTCAAATGAAAAAGCACTACTACTCTTGGAAATAGCCAGTAAATGACCTGTGTGGGTGTGTGCCTGTTTTCAGATTTGCATGTTGCACAGCCGCTATATTTTTCAACAACACACTCAAACAGAAATGTGTCCAATGAATAAATATCCTATACTATAAGGTTCAAGTTTCTAACTTATGTGATTATAACTGGCGATATTATGATTATGAAGCGTCATCCACCAAAATAATACTGTTTCACTCACTGTGTGTAATAAGTATATCTAATAAACAAATTGATATTAGATTGAGAAGAACGTGTTTAATTATAAATAAAAGTCAGTCCGTTTCATTCTGGCACATCACATCAACAATCTGTTCAACTAAAATTTTGCTTTTTAATTTTGTTTTGAAAAACATCATACTCCATATGAAACTTAATATTTCTACGAGTTGATCACGGATTGATATCAGTTAGAGAACCATTGAAAACCAGGGAGAGAACAATCCCAGTCTTTGTATACAAAAGAAGTTTGTTCTACTTTTGTCTCTCCCTTGGCCTAAGTGAATTCTGTTCAAAACCCTCCCACCATTTCTTATCATCCATCTCCTTCGTACTTTTATATTTATTTAAACTCTGATTATCGTTCCATTTGATTTGACCTAATTTATTTATTTATTGAATTGTCTACATATATGCATATACTTACTTTGTTATTCTTATCACCTATATATAACCCTTCTCCACTTCGGCCTTCAAGGTTCTCACTTGAATATTTGCTACTACCACCAAGATCTGCGCCTGTGGTTGCTTCACCTAGGCTTACACCTGAGGCTTCCCGCTAGCTACAGGGACCCTCCTACTCGTCGCCGCCACTCTTTACCTGGACCAAGTCAGCTTGCCCTCACACTGCTAAGGCCCAGCTTGCAGCAACGATACGGTATAGGTCCAACGCTCGAGCGCCATCGATTTTCACAGCTGGTTGATTGGGCTCGTGAAAACACAACAAACCCTTAAAAACAAAAATACAGAAAAACTTAATATTTCCCCTTATGTAAGAATGAATCCTACTCATAATAATAGAAGCTCGGTTGTTATTCAAAAAAATAACAACTCTCACTCAATTATTATTCTGTTTATCAGCACCGAATTCGCTGTAAGGGATGAATGTTAAATAAAAAAAGAGAAATTGAAAAATTCACGAACAAATTTTTATTTAGTAATCTAATCACACACACACACACACGCATACCAGTTAGACAGTCAGTCATAGGAAATGAAATGAAATGCAGTTGTCTTGAGGACATATACATTTCCCAATGGATTAAAATGAGAAATTCTATGATTCTCCTCTTTTTCCTACCCAGCCCCTCTCCCTACTCTGCTTCTTCTTCTTGTTCTATTTTATTTCCATTCAAATGAGATGAACACAGTAACACTCTTCATACCGGCTTTTGCTTTCTCCTTGTTAGACAGAAATCTCCTGTAGGACATATAATTTTTAATAAGCAAGCGAGGTGAAATCGCCCTTTTCTGACTGAGAGATGAATACAAAAATAGAAGAAAAAAAGCAACATTTCGATGACATTTTTAGAGTTATTTTGTGTGTGTCAGCGAAAATGTTGATAAGCCTAATAAATATTATTTTTAAATAACAAGCCTCCTGGCCAAAATACTATCCCTTATGCAGAAACATGTAAGAGAAGAAAGCGTGTCTCTTCTTCTTCTACTTTTTTTTTAATGCAAACATGATGGTTTAAATAATTTATTTAAACTGCCAGTAGTTGATAAGACAGATTTCCCCTACGAAAACAAAATAACTGAGATGTCATGTGAAAATTTGAATTGCATTCGTAGATAATATGTGTATTTCAGTTGGTAGCGAATAGTGATACAGCTCCATGAAACTGGGTATCATTACTATTATATTACTGTTCCCAAGGGATTCCGAGGGGAACACAGTGCATCAACAGCTCTATGCTGTTCCCTGCTGTCTTGCTTAGCCATCTGTATGACTGACCATAAGTTTAGATAAACCAATAAGAAGACATAATTTGTCTGAATCGTGTAATGTACTTGCGCATAAAATATATTTCAAACAAGCTGATGACACACGGACTTGTCATAGGAATATATACGTGTAAAATTAATAAAGAGTTAAGAGATGAGAAAAAGATTACTTAGGTCAAGTTAAAAAAACATACTGAAGGTCAAAATAACAATCAAACCCTCTAAGTCAAATAGCAGAGGTAATAGAACATTATTATTATTATATCCTTTAATTCCTAGATGAGCATAGAGCTTCAGCCACGCATCTACATTGCGTCCGGTTCTCGGTCAACTTTTTCACCCCGCTCCAGGCCTGCCTACATGCTTTCATCTCCTCTCCACATGACCTCCTCCAAGTCATCATTGGACGACCAACTCGCTGCTTCCCTTTCGCCTTCCACTCGAACTATGGTTCGCCTAGTTATGTCACTTGATAGTTTCCTCAGTGTATGGCCAGCCAATCCACCTCCATTTCTCCCTGATTATTTGTTGTACAATCAGTTCCTGGTTGGTTTACTCACAGAGATCCCTGTTGGTGATCTTTTCTGACCATCTGATCTTGAGAAGTATTGAGCGAAGACAGCTGTTAATGAAGGTGTGTAGTCTGTTCGTCGTGACCTTCGTGATGCGCTGGCCATGTCTCTGGTCCGTATGGTGAGTAGCACAGATATCACATTGGAGTTGAAAATTCGGATCTTATTTTCATTTTCATGCTGAGTGATGTTGATCTCCACACAGATTTGAGAGAAATGAAAGCTTGTCTTGTATTGCCGATTTTCGCTTTTTAGTTCCGCCTTTAGTTGAAACGATGCTTCCCAGGTTATGTGTAGGTAAAGGAGTTTGTTTCTTTCAGGTTCCTCACATTTATGCAGCCTGATTGCTGTCTGTTGTTCTTGTTGCTGTTGGTGTTGGCCAGGAATCTTCATCACCTCTGTTTTATCTATGTTCACTTGAAGTCCTATCTTTGATGCTTCTTCTGCCAACTTGTTGCTTTTCACTTGCATATCTTCCACTTTGTGGAAATCAGACATATATCATTGGCGAAGTCCAGATCCTCCAAGTTTTTTGTGTGAGTCCATTTTATGCCTGTTCCCTCGTTGGTTGCCGTTGTCTGTCGCATTATCCAATCCACTGCAATCAGGAAGATCATTGACGATAATAGACAGCCTTGCCTCACTCCCGTCCTCACTTCGAAGGCTTCCGTAAGTTTCCCGTTGTGGATTACTTGGCATGCAGCATTGTCGTATAACTGTTGGATGAGATGTATAATTGTCGATGGGACCCCGTAGTAGCGAAGTAGTTGCCAAATGACCTCTCGATCGACGCTGTCGAAGGCCTTTTCAAAGTCGATGAAGTTGAGATAGAGAGGTGACTGCCATTCCAAGCTTTGTTCAATGATGATCCGTAGAGTGGCGATTTGATCAATACATGATTTGTTTCTCCTGAATCCAGCCTGTTCCGGTCGAAGTTTTTCTTCTAGGGCTTGTTTGATTCGGCTTAGTATTTTGCTTGGGATGGACAGAAGCATAATTCCGCACCAGTTTTTGCATTGACTTAAGTCTCCTTTCTTTGGTAGTTTGAATAAGTGTCCTTTCTTCCAATCCTCGGGTACTTTGCCCTCTTTCCACACCTTCTCCAGTAGTGGTGTCATCAAGTCCGCTGTTGTCTCTGGGTCTATTTTCAAAGCTTCTGCTGGGATTCCATCTGGTCCTGCGGCTTTCCCAGCTTTTAGCATCTTGATTGCATTCAGGACTTCTGATTTCGTCGGGGGGTCGATGTTCACTGGTAGTTCTGCTTCCGTTGTTGGTATTGTTGGGCGTGTTGTAGGTGGCGGACGATTTAGAAGTCTTTTGAAGTGTTCAGCCCAGTGTTTTCTTTGCTCCACCTCTTTGGTGATTGACTTTCCATTGTCGTCCTTTATTGGCTTAATCTGTGTCGAACTTTTGCCCGATAGGTGCCTAGTTGTTTGGTAGAGTGTGGCGAGGTCTCCTTTGCCTGCAGCTTGTTCTGCTTCGTTTGCCATGGTTTCATAATATTTTCTTTTGTCTTCCCTGGCACTCTTCTTCACTCTTTTGTTCAGTGTATTGTAGCTTGCATTCAGCTCCTGTTTTTGTTGCTCGTCAGTGCACTGGATAATCTTTTGTTTCACTGTCCTTCTCTCTTCTATTAGTTTCCAAGTGTCCGTAGTGAGCCACTGTTTGTCCTGTCTCTTCTTTCTGCCTAGAATTTCTATGCAGGTTTGGCTCCACACCGTTTTCAAGTTGTTCCAGTGCTTTTCGACGCTGACCTTTTCGCTGGTGTTGATTTGTGTCTCGGCTTTGTCCTTTATGCTTGCAATGAAGATGTCCTTTGTAGCCTGGTCCTTCAGCTTTTGAGTGTTGAACTTGGCTTGTGGTCTATCTGCAGCTCCTGTTTCCCTGAAAGCTTTTAATTTGATTTGGATTGTCCCTTGTACGAGATAGTGGTCTGAGCCAACGTCTGCTCCTCTTCTTGCTTTTGTGTCCAGTAGGCTGCGCCTCCACTTCCTTGAGATTGAGATGAAGTCGATTTGGTTTTTGGTTTGCCCGTCTGGTGACACCCATGTAGCCTTGTGGATATCTTTGTGCTTGTATACACTGCCACC